CGACACTGGAAAGATAAAAGTTAATGTCCAAAATGAGATTACCGGTTCTATGGTCTTCCAAATGTCACCTCCACCTAGTTTTGATGCATTTTATGTAGGACAAAATTATGAGTTGAAGCAGTGAAAAATACCCTGTAAGGAGGCATTAAATATTCAATAACTGGAAAAATTGCTCATTACTTGAAAAGTACCTATCTCATTATCTTCTGAAATCCTTCAAATCCATTTATGCCCTCTGGTTTCAATTATATGCTTGACATGTGAAAAACAAAAATCCACAGTTACAAGTGTGTGGATAATATAAGTAAAGGCATCTCTTGAAAACACCACAACCACTCAGGCTGGCGCAAATTACATGATTATTTACGTAAATACAGGATGATCGTTAGACAGGCAGTAGGTCTTTTTTGTTTCTGTTACCCTGTATTATCACAGCAACTAATCAGGAAATAAGAAAAAGCCGCCTTTGTTCAAGAAGGGGTCAACTAGCTGATCCAAAGTAAACTCTTATTGAGACAACTTGACAATTCAGATATTGTTTTAACTACATGTACAATGCCTTCACAGAGCTGGGACGAAGTTTCTCAGAATGCTTTCTGAGCAAATTTAATTGATCTCAACACAGAAATGGAGTTGACTACCTTTACAGTCGCAGTACTGTGCCAAGTAGCACAGCAGGAAAATGTGAAGGAACACCTGATCAAGACTGATCAAATCCAGGAAGTAGAAAGCTGCTACTACCAAGTGGCCGACACCAAACCAGGTATTATGCGGTTTAAAGGTTTAATATTAGTTTAAAGATGCAAAGTAAGGAAACCCTTCCTTCTCCGTTTATGGTCGGAAAAATGTCAAAAATGCTCTTCCACAAGTCCCCTTTTCACCGATTTCATTTCAGAAAGACTCATATATTACTGATATGCCAATGATCCCCAAACATGCATCTTTACACACAGGTCTTGTATTAGATTCATACTCAAAATGCAGTATTTTTGCATGGGTCTTGTGCACTACATTGTTCCATCCATCAAGTACATGTACATGATTTCTTCTGTTTTTGTAAAATAAAACATAAGTCAGTCTTGTGCAGTTTGTAGGTTCAGACAGAAATCTTGCAAACTGAGATTGGTGTTTTCAGAATTGGCACAGTTGGTTGTAAAAGAAAATTGCCTCTTCTTTTCCTCTTGTTGATTTTGAACAGAAAGATGGGTGTCATGCCAGAGACAATGCAACCTGATTCTACAAAGCTGAGGATGGGGCCGAGATCGACCCTGGTCAGAAACCTATCGCTTCGTACCAGGAGCTCATTCTAACATACTCTGCCCAGCAGCAGTGGGTCCTGAGTGCATGCAGTTGCACAGGTATTAGATCATTTTATTTTCACTGGCGTTCTTGTTGAATTTTTTTTTTATCAGTGATATGTATGTAAATATGTTTATCTTTGTAATTTCAATTAGTTATTGCCATACTGGCCTGCATAACAGAGTCCAGAAGACTCAGTTGACAGAAGGGCTGACACACAGGCAAACCTGCAGACAAGGTACAACGCACTGGGTGTGCTGTCCAAGCTGAAGAAGACATCGAAGGCAATTCAACAGCCAAAACCTCCCCTTCAGTGTCGGAATCAGAAGATGTTTGGAGTTTTGATGATTCAGTCACAGATGACGAACCTCTGAGTCTATCAAATTAGTTGATGTTGTCATATTTTTAGATTTCAACCACCCCTGTAATTTTTGTATTACTTAATTTAAAACACCTTGAGTAACACTATTATAACAGATTACATCTTTATGCTCTCTCCAAGTAAAGTTGTGGAAAGGTCATCTGAATTGGTAAACTGAATGGTATTACAAATATGGAATGAAGTGATTGGCTTGACCTTTTCAAAGCTACTAAATATTAATAACCTTTCTTCTTATGCACATATTCCTCCCCAAACGACATACACTTTGTGCATGATTTGTTTTTAGAACAAACGTTAACCAAGTAATGCCCATTGAAGGAGATGAACCAATGAAGATTGATGCTACGGTGATGTGATCAAACTGCAACTGAACGATATTTATTTGCCAATTCTTTTTAAAATGTAAATGCTTTGTTATCCTAGGTTATACATGAAAATTGAGATGATGTAATGATGACCCCAGCACTATTTTTTAACATTTGACTCATTTGACTTCTGATATTTTTAAGTACTCTCCCTATTCTTACCATATGACCTCAGAGAGACAAAGGACATTTTCACATCATGTGGAAAGTCTGTAAAGTTTTGATAGTATTATCACAGTATTGTTATCCGATGAGAGAGATTATTCAAGTCTTGAAACTATTTCTTGTTTCCAATCTTAGCAGTTACTTTCCTGTAGTATTTGTTGGCACTTTTACCAAGTCAAAGTTGTGTTGATCTTTTCAAAACATCCATTGAAAAGACCTTATGATGATGTCATCCAGTAAATTAAGATGGATTTTTAAACAATCGGTGAACTGCTTTTTCACTGCAGAGAATCCAACACACCAATGTTCATGTAATTAATAAATTTGTATGCTGTGTTGATAGATTAAATACAATATATTTTTCTGGTTTTGTTGTGGCTGGTTGGTTGTTTTGGAAAAGTGGAAGAGGGTAGTTTCTGTCATATTTAAATTAAATTTCTTGTACATGTTCTGTTGATACCTATTTTAGAATTTATTCAAGAGGCAAGATTTTTGAAGCTTCAAACTTTGGAACTTTACCTTTTGCTTTCTTCAAATCAAGATATACCTACAGGAATGCTTTGATTTGTATTTTGATATACAAATTTACAACAATATCTAAAAAGCGTTTTTGAGACCGTGCAAGTTATTTTACCTTGTGTCAAATTAAAGCAGTAATTATGAACTCTTGTTTGGGACATTATTTTATCCTTCAAATCTCTCTTAATATTTCTGCCGACACCAAATTACCAGTAGGGAGAAATGGCCTCGCCTCCTTTTCTAAAGTTCTGAAAAATATGTAAACATCATCATTAACGATGAATAATCCACCTCGATTCTGAAGTGGTATCCACTCATTACTGTACTCTAAAAATGTTTCTTCAGAGTTAGTTGTGCAAGAATGCCAACTGGCAAGGAACTTACAAAAATTGCAGCTGTATGCAGCTTCATGATTTAAAATTGATCTTAGTGCTTTGTAAAATCGACCACAGGTATGCTGTGTTGACACATTCATGGAAATTTGTGCTATGTATGAAAAAAGAACCGAGGGACATAAACGTCTTGTGAAAACTCATCCCTTTTTCAACAAACATTCACTTATTTGGACTTCTCTAGGTATCACGATGGCACGCAGAAGCCCCAAAAGGCCTTTGCCTATTTACCACTCATTCCCCGATTGCAACGATGATTCAAGATGCCGGTAATTGCCAGAAGTCTTCAGCAGCACGAGTTGGTAGAGGAACAAAATCCTGTGAATGATATTCACATGTCACCTGCTCGGAAACTCATGTATGATAAAGGTAATGCCATTTCTGTGAAAGTTTTGTGTTTGTTCTAAAATTGTTACGTCTTATAGAGTTTTTAACTAGTCTCAACACTATTAACTTTGTAAAACCACCTTAAAACCAGCCAATCTCGATGCTGACTTTTTCATCCTGTATCACTACACACACAAATGTACAGAAAATGGTCTGCATTGTGTGCTTAAGCAATAATCTTATTATAATCTTATTATAAGCCGCAGTACTCAATTATTGAGTCAGACTCAAGCTATTCATGTACATTTCTCATATTTCTTCTTAAAAAACCCTTTCTTATCAATTTTAATTACATAAGAATTTTATGTTCACCTATGTTGCCTTTGGTTATTAAAAGTGAGATTATTCACTGGCGCTTTTGAAGATTGTTGCACTTCAAACAGAAAATACACCATGAGGTTTTTTTAATTCCATGTTTGTGTCGTGTTTGAAATATTGGCTACATACACGCAATGCCATTTGGAGAGAGCGCCTGTAGGCTATTACAAAAAAAGAGAGGAGATATTTCTGCAATTGTATTCTAAATTTCCAATTTTTCTAATTCCAATTATTTCTGAATGTTGTCAGTTTTGGACAATTGCTTCTTTACACATTGATATTTATCTCTTTGTTGTGCCAACCAGTAAAATTTCTTATCTTTGATTTTTTTATTTTTAAATCATACTTTACATCTGACAATGGGCTGATTTTAATGCCTTTTCAGGTAGACACATCTCAGAGTTTCAAAAGCGTTTAGTCAACAGGGGTGATTCAGGTGGAAGATGTTGGCGATTTTTACCATATATTACCTTCCCATATTCTTTGAACTGCCCACCTCATGCATTGACATCGGTGGGACAGCAGTTAGACTTTGGCAGACAGGTGTTAGAACTTTGGCACAAAGCCTCCCATGGTCCAACAACCCGTAATCGGAAAAAGGCAAAGTCAGCAGCAACAAAGCTGGAGAAGGCAACAGAAAAGAAGGGAGTGGAAAAATCGGCTCGACTGCCATATTACATCAACGTTGATATACTCGTTGAGCTCATGCACACAGTTCAAGTGAGGTATACTAATCATGTATTTCATGTGAGTGTGAAATTTTTCGATAAGCTAAAAACGACCTTGATTTGCGTAAAACATTGTTTTATTGAGCCTAAGTTTTGTTAACCAGCCACTTATTCTAAAGCAGTGATGTAAATACACTTTTGTTGCATAATGAATAAACTGATAAAAAGGTTATGACAGAGTTTAGGAACGTTATACTGTAAGGAATTAATTGTTACATTAAATATGCTCCTATTTTAGATGGTATCCATTAAATACAAAAAAGAGAAATATGTGTTTTATATTTGATTAAGAGTTAGATACATATAAGCATGAGGGTAACAAAACAAATGTGAAATCAAGTCTTTTTTGTCAAGGGTAATACACATGACCAATTTAATGTATGAACAGGTGGACATGAAGAAGATTATTGGGCTTCTGACTGGAAGAGATGACAATGAAAAGCTCCATAATGCTGAGGCTGCCCTTGGGAGACAAATAAACCTGCGAGCTGTGGAAAGTGCATTATGGACATTGACAAGAGAAAAAAGCAGCAGCAGATGAGAGGCTGCTTCCAATACGGCCACCATGTGGACTAGACTGGACCCTGAAGAAACTCTTTACACGGACCAGCCTACTGTGCATGAATTGCAGTGATTGGAAAAAGGTACCAGTACACGTCTAGAAGGAGCTTTGTGAGGTCTTGGGCCTGGTTGAACAAGACTTCCCTTAGGAATTCAGGTGAGTTTGT